CTAATTTAAACACATATCAATAAGAAAAAAAGACCCCAAATAATTTTTACTTCTGAATTGGTAGTATTGTAGTTGAGTCTATCTTTCTTAATGTTATTCAGGCTGAATTTTCATTGAAATCTCAGATTGATGAGGATGAGCAGTGATTATATAATTTGTAAATCCATTTAACCCGAGCATCTGTAATTATATGATTTCTTGGGGAAAAATAATTTTACCTGTGAACTTGTCTGTCATAGCTCCATGGCTCAGGCCCCAGGAAGTTGATAGTTCACCAAGAAAGAAAGGAAGTTATAGGATGAAAAATACCAACTAGCTCAGCTACAAATAGTGGTTTGCTGATTCCTAAGTAGTACCATTGGGTAAGGCCTTTCTCTTGAACCTTTAAAGTGCTACCATATTTCCTGTTTTTAGGCCAATTATCTGAAGTTTGTTAGCTGTGGCTAATTGGACCTCAGGGGTATTTCACCATCATTAGCAGATCTTGCCAACAACTCAATTATTTCACATAACTTAACTGAAGTTCAGAGGAGAATTCTTACATCATTCCTCTTTAATTGTGAACTCCTCATTATGTCTACATGAAGACAAAACATTATGACAACAGAAAAACAAAATGAGTTGACCATTGTTCATAGCAGCACTATTTACAATAGCCTAGACATGGAAACAGTCTAAATTTCCATCAACAGATGACTGGATAAAGAAGATGTGGTATATTTATACTATGGAACACTATTCAGCCATAAAAACTGACAACATAACACCATTTGCAGCAACATGGATGCTCCCGGAGAATGCCATTCTAAGTGAAGTAAGCCAGAAAGAGAAAAAAAAAAAACCATATGAGATCGCTCATATGTGGAATCTAACAAAACAAAACAAAGCAAACAAAGCATAAATACAAAACAGAAATAGACTCAAGACATAAAATACAAACTTGTGGTTGCCAAGGGGGCAGGGGGTGAGAAGGGATAGACTGGGATTTCAAAATGTAGAATAAATAAACAAGATTATACTGTATAGCACAGGGAAATATAAACAAGTTCTTATGGTGGCTCACAGAGGAAAAAAATGTGACAATGAATATATGTATGTTCATGAATAACTGAAAAATTGTGCTCCACACTGGAATTTGATACAACATTGTAAAATTATTATAAATCAATAAAAATGTTAATAAAAATTTTTTAAAAAATGTTTGATGTTAAATCATAAATAAATAAATAAATAAATAAATAAATAAATAAATAAATGTTTGTTTAAATATTAAAAAAAAAGAGTTGATCATTTATGGATTTAGATATTTGATACCAAATGAGCTTAATATTAAGTCTGCATAATATTCTGTAAATTAATGATTTATGTAGGTAACTCCCTGAAAAATGTTTATTATAATATTTTGTTTTTAATCAGTCTATAATTTATGCAAATTATAGTGTTAAAATATTTATTTTCAGATGTACATTAAGTGAAATTTATAAGCCCTATTGTAATATTGGCATTTCACAGCAGATAAAATTTACAGAACTCTTTCAAATTGGTTGTATCTTGTATCAATTCTGGAATTAGATTAACATGATCATGTATATAATTCTAGTTTTCAGTTATATTCAGAGATGGTAGAATGCACTTTTTTCATTCATTTAAATTTAATTTCATAATAGCCTTTGGAATGCAAAAGAATAAATTTTATATCCACAATTTATAACAAGTAAATATAAGACAAGGAATCAGAATGCCGTTTGCTAAGGCAAAATAAGTAGCCAGGTCACTAAATACTGGGCCAGGATATTTATCTTTAAATTATTGTTTTACAACCTTTAATTATTGTCATGGCAAGTTTACTTTGCCACCAACAGTGAAGCCTATTATAATTATCTACTAAAATAAATAAATATTGATATTTGAAATTATTTTCAAATTAATTTAATCCAGTTCAATTTGTAAATATTCCCATATAGCACAAACTCACTGACCATGTTCAAATATGCTTGCATTAATAGCAAGAAAAATAAGTTTCCCATTAACAATTTATTTTCTGGATTCCTCCAGAGAATGGGATCACTGTGAGCAACATGTGTCAAACCTGGTCTGACTACACTCTTTACAATAAAGTGCCATAGTAATATCTGTGATAGCAAGTGCCAAAAACAGTCTAAATGAGGTCTTGAAACTGTCTAAAGAACAATAAGGAATATGAGATTTCCTGACATGTCTTCATGAAAATGTCTTGAACTTGTCTTCCACTGCGGAATGAAAGACTCAGATAAGACAATTAGTATGTGCAAAGTCATCATTCTCAACGTCATAAAAAATTAAGATCCATTCACAATGGCCCATAAAGTGGTTGTCTCAGCCTCTACTTAAATAAATACAGTGATAGAAAGAGAGATGGCTTTAGAACACTTACACCTGTCTAGTCTATCTCCCCAAGTCCTAGAGTTGCCCATGAAATGCAAAGAGATAAGAGTTAGGTCTAAATCAGTGAATATTGTCCATGAAACAATTTTTCAAAAGAGGAGTCTCTGGAGCCACACCAGGCAAGTCTGTTTCCAGAATACAAATCCAAAGACAGAGTGGATTAAAACCCTGGAGATAACAGCAAAAGAGATTCTCAAGCATGAAAGAGCAGGACAAATTATATGTGAATCTTATCACAGTTGATCAGAAACTAGTTGAGGTATGATTTCTTGTTTTATAGGTTCAGGGACTAATTTCACAAAAGCAGGGTACCTACCAAAGTGTTCTCATGGCAGCTTCATGCATCTCATTAGATAGAGAATCATGTCCCCAAAATAACTAAGCACTCAAAAGCAGAGCTCATATTGTCTAATCCAATCTAAAGGCACTTTTATCACAAAGGGACATCTCCTGTTTGCCAGAAGTAGAAAAGTTTTAGGAAGTGAGAGCTGTGCTCTCATAAATCTTTTAATTTTAGTTCTAATTGATATAAGAACAATCTAACAGTACTGATGACAATAAACATTTTGGCTTGGGCAGAATTACAGAATTTGGAAACATCTTCCAATTTACCTAAGTAAACTACTTGTGGAAATAAGAAAAGCTGTATAAGGTTACGGAATAAGATGATGGCATAGTGTGAAGTAAAGCTCATGTCTCCTGATCCTGAAGCTAGTGTTCTTACTCTCCATCACATTTTCATAACCATAATATGCTTGATAAATATTGTTACATCACTGAGACCATTATTTCTTCAATAAAATATGTGGTATCCATAAAGTGGGAGGCTGGGCCTTTTTGTCAAAAGAGGAAACTATAAACATATCTATGACTTCCATACATTTGCATTTTGCTAATAGACTTCATTTTTGGAAAGAGTCAAAATTAATTCACAGCAAAGTCTGATAAGTTAGATAAGTTGTTTAGCTGAGAATTTTTTTCTTTGACAACTGTGGACTAATAATACCTGCTTTTGTTTTATTGGGGGGTTTTTTATATCCCTTATAAAT